GCCTAACCCTAACGCCTCGCTTCCATCTCAGTCCAGTGCCACATGTAGGTCTTCTCCAGTTTACAAGCGCATGGCCACACGAGAGACCAACGCTACAGGAAAGTCACCTCCTTTGCGCAGTAGCTCTTTGACTTCTGGGGTATCCCGAATGTACTCAATGAAGCACACAAAGTACTCCACAATAATCTCTCGTGCAATGTCATCCTCCACGGTATTTTCGAACAGTTCCTGCGCGAGGGCCACGATGTCGGGAATATGGTATTGGTCGAAGTAAAAGTAATAGAGTATACAATGGAGGCGGCAGATGGAGAGACGGCGGAGATCTTCAACACCATACTTATCTGCCAGGATGTAGAGACGTGCGTGGCTGAGGAAGACAGGCAGATATGAGTATTTGCCTTCTTGTGTGCTCTGCAAACTAGTCACCGCCGGAGAGCCGCCGTGAATCATGGATGAGTTGTAAGGAGGACGGGCAAAGTTTCTCATCGCTTCAAACCGCTTTCCTATTGGGGTTGTTACGTCAAGCATATAACTTTGATCTGGACATCTGCGTTTGCGTCTTGATAGCCCACTGTCTTCAGCCAACTGTAGAATGCCATTTTGTTGATCGTTGTTGGACTGATAACTCTGTATGAACTCGCCAACGGCCGCTGGCAGCTTCCACTCGCAATATTCATAGGTGTAGGTATAAGTGAACGGTGGTCGGTTACCGCCATTGCGTGTTGACATGCGGTCTACAGTAGTGGAAGCCTCAGAGGAACTTGCCCCGTCACCGGCAGGGCTGTGGTATCCGGTTGGAGTGTCTTCGGAAGAGTCATCGTCGTCGTCAAGATCATCGTCTTCACCAGAATCATTGTCGTCACGCATTTCCTCTGAATCCGAGCGGGTGCTGCGAGAGTCATCTGAGTCCTGCCCAGACGAAGATGCATAGCCATTACCATCACGAGTATATGATTTGATTGGCGAGTGGTTGTCTTCAGTGTCTAGTTCTGGTTCCCGGATAAGAACAGGTTGTGCCTCACTGTAGTCACCAGAGTAGGCGAATTTGGCGAAGCGCACAAAAGTGTCGACATCCAGGTCTGCCCATACGACGCGACCTTCTCGAGCTTCTCTCATGTTCCCGTTTACTAGAGCGTTTAGAACTGGCGATAGTCGGCCGATGAGTTCCTTGTGTACATGGAACTCCTTGGCCTCTGGGCCGACAACGAAGAGAAAGGGCTTGGAAGCGAGAGATCTGATGCCAGAGTCAGCAGGCTTGAGAAAATCGAATGGAGCTATGAAAGCATCGCTTCAAAAGTCGATAGAAATACATGCTAATACTCACTCTTCGAAGTTGGCACTGACTGCTGGAACGGCAGCGCCAGATCGTGAAGCAGACATGGTGTAAGTGAGAGCCTCCTAGCCGCCAGTAAATGATCTGCGTTGTGGCTACTAGAAGTAGGGGTGGAAAGGTAGAGGCTGTGAGAAAACAAAAAGAAGACGGGAAGTATTCATGCGGAAGTCTCTGAAGTGAGTTGAATGTGGGAAAAGAGAATGGAAGATGACAATAACGGATTGAAGGCCGTTGGAAGTACATGCCCTGCGCTGTAACGTTAGTAGGTAGCTCCAGCTGCCTGTCACTGCCCTGACTGCTAGCCTAAGAGATCCCGTTTGATACCTACGGTGCTGTAATGGAGTACTAGCGCTTAAAGGAAGTGACCTGAACCACAGAACCAGGGTCCTCGCACACTAAATCCGAGGTAATGCGGGGCAGACGATGATGGTTGGCTCCCTTGCCGCGCAGTGTCTCACAGATGGGTTTGGCTCAACTTTGTGTTATTGGTTGAATGATGAAGAGGTTGTTGTTATGTTTCTATAAAAAACACTCAAGTAAATCCTTAGGTAGCCTTTTCTCAACGTACCTATATGATGGGTGTATAAGAAGAACACCCCCAAAGAAAAGATACAGAGGAATCCCTTGCACCATGGGCCATATCCATATCATTGATCTGCTAATAAATCGGCTCTGCTGTTCTATTTATACTCCAGGCGCTAACTTACTCATTCATGCGACGAACTTTCCCCCACATCCACCACAAACCTCCCCTGACGCCTGTACATTTGCCCCTGGTCCAAAATGCGTCTCGACAACTCGCTTCAGCTCTGCGACTTTCAGACATCGCAACTCGCACACTGCGCAAATTCGAGAAATATCGGGAGCCATTATCGCCAGTCCCGTAGAAGCACAGCGCGCTATACAAAATGTGTCAACAACAACGGCCATAGAGAGGTTGCGTAGCCAACTTACCAAACAAATGCCCGTTTTCACATTTTGCCTCCTCCTCCTCCAATCGTAATGCCGCATCACAAAACACGCAGTGTTGACCAGCAGCAACATCTCTGAACTGCTCTCTCAATAGAGAATTGTTAAGCTCAGGCGATATCTTGCGGGTGGCTGTAGTCCCAAGCACTTCAGGGGCATTCCCGTACATCCACTCCCAAACCTGACCCTCAGTGGTTAAAGGCTTCGATAGTGTGGCTGTATCATCTTCGCCACGCTCTTCGTCTCTTCTTGAGAACATTAGTTTGCAGAGTGCTCGCCTTTCCGGGTGCAAAGTGCTGTATCGTGATACAAGCACTGCTGTTGTGCCACCGCCGGGTGACTGCACCATACCCCAGATGCGGTACCTTGATTCGGGAACCTGTAATTGTGTTGTATCCTCATCCATCAGGTCGTCTTCTGAGTCATCTGAATCCGAGTCTAGCCCTTCCAGCGCAACCGCTCTTGCAACGAGCCGCGTTGTCTGCTTCCGAATTCTCGTTGCCCATTTCGGTACAGAGGCCTCTGAGTCCGAAAGGTTTGTTTGAAACCAGTCTTGATTGCGTGATGTTGCTGATAACCTGGCGATTGAGTAGTATGGAACTGATCCTGTGTGTCCTATGCCTTGATCGTGAATTAGAAGTCCTTAGTTGCTGTTAGATGTGTTGTGTGCAAAGCCTGTAAGAGTTACGAACCAGAAATAGGATTCAATGAGACTATTTCATCTTCCTTGGAATACGTCGTCGAGCACTCCCAAGTATAGTGAGCGCCAGCCAACTCCTCAGCGTCGCCAACAAACGAAACCTGAAACGGCTTCACATTGAACGGATCAGCGACCACGCCCCTGACAACGGGCTTATCATCGTCATATACGATCTCGGGCCACGTTAGCTACGGCTATTCCACGTGCCATGCACCACGTACCAGGTCTTCCCACTCGATATATGCATCCGTTGATAGAAACATGCAAATGGCTGCCATGTCCGCCTTCTCGACTTCGATGAGCGGAGGGTAGCCCCTCTCCCAATTGCCGAGGATAGTGATCTTTCGGAACCCAACATGATTCTTTGCCAAATATGCCAGTATAGCGACCCTTTTGCCTTGACTATTGAACCAAGGGCTCCATTTCAAAGAAAAGGCACTCCCATGGGGCACGTAGTCAGGATCCGTGATATCCACAGCCTGTTTCATGATGTTAGAGCCTTCTCCGATCAAGTTCAGCATGACTCACGTCTTCCTTAATATGTCTCCCTCTACCATCAAATCGGCCAACTTCTTGGATGTCCCATCGCGTCTCTTCACTCGAGGGATCCCCTTCTTTTGTCTGTGAGAAGTGTTGCACCGCCATTACAGCTACTTCTTCGACATCATTGAAGTACGCTAGAAGACCTCTCCCTGTATCCACTTCTTTGGCCCACGAGAAGGCCTGGATGCGTTCATTCATATTTCGGTATCCATCTTCTTCGTTGTTGTCGGGCAGCGGAAGTTGGGCCCCGAGGCCCCAGAGTGTCTTCCATGCCTTGAAGCTTCGAACCCGCATGCCTGCTATCATCGCAGACTGCCGATCAATGTGCTCACCAATCGCGTATATACATCCACTGGTCGACAGTGCTGTCAAGATAGGTCGAAGATTACAGCCCAATCCGTTTGGTGACCATTCTAGCCTCACAATCTGGCAGATTGGTGCTCCTGAACCTGTCACTAACCCATTCCCCACACCAGGAAACCAATTCTCGTCGTTGGCTGGCGGTCCAGCCACTCTGATACCGGAAAACGAACAAAGCTGTGCATTGATTGTGGGATCTGGACGAATCAAGCCTGAGGCACGATAGGAGAGCGTGTACTGGCTCTGTAATTCTTCCTCATCCGCTCCTTCGTCCGGGCCGCCACTCCTCGGATACTCTGGAAGAAATATGTAAATAGTATCATCTGTAGCAACTGCAAGCTCTGCATCACAAGACCATGCCAGAGCATGAGTTGTCAGTGGACGCGACTTGAGATGAATTGTTTTTAGGGGCCTTGTCTTGTTTTCAGAACAGTCAGCAAGCCTTCTCTTATAACTTTCTATTCAATAGGGGGGATATGAAAATGGCTGTGCATCTCGCCCGAGCAGTCAAGCGAATCTTTTGTTGAAGTCTCACCTTAGACTTTTCCATTGTGGCAGCTGAGACGGGTCGTGTCACAGGACGGCCGCAAAACCATGGGAATTTTTCCTCTTATAAGATAATCATGTGAGAAGGAAGCCTGGTATTTGAATTCGACAGTGGCATGGCAGAACTGAGAGTTTGATGAGATGTTCGTAGGTATGAAATGGTTGATACCAAAAAAGTTGCTGACTAAGAAGCAGTACACATTTCATACCTACCTACCTACCTACACCATGAAGAAAAAACAGACGAGATCCTTTATGCTGCCAGGTGTTGAATTCCCTATGCTTAAAGCAGTCTATGAGTACCAATCTTCATAGAGTATCAAAAATAAGAAGCCATCGACGCATGTTTGAAATTGTATCAAATTGATTAAGCCAACATATACCCTGTGTAGGACCGGTTGTCTGTGGCCATGTCTGCAGATTGCTCGACTTATCACTACCTAGGGAGTATGGTAACAAAAAATACGTCAATCCCGTCAAATACGCCGTTCTCCATGTTCTTGGTATGCCATAAATATATAAAAATAACAATATTCGTGATTGTTGACCTCAACCCTCTAAGAAAGATCCTAAACCCCAGAGAAGGCCACAACCCGCAAGCGCTGTCGCACCAACGACCTTCTTTGTCCACCAGTTGTCATCCGTCAGTGCCTTGGCTTTTTGGATCTTCCTGGCTGCCTCAGTTGGAGCACTAGCAGGTGCCTTTGCAGATACCTTCTCCCCAACAGACTCCTTGGCTGCCTCTGCTTCCTTCTGCTGCAGAAGGGCAATTTTCTTGCTAAGCGCCAAGAGATCCTCCTCGAGAGTCAAGTTGCCGCTGCGGTCAACCTCAACGTTTTGGATGTTGCCGAAGAAGTCTGTGATCAGACGGCTACGGGCATTTTCTTCGCCGCCAGGGAAGAGGTCGTAGCGCACTCCAGCATGTGAGTGGATCTTGCCGAAGTCGTAGCTGTCGAACAGTTCGCCCACTGTCTTCTGGCTGTTCAGGTCCTTGACGTTGTTCTCGAGGAATTCAAGATTGTAGTACGTGTATCGATCGATAACGGCGACGCCTACATCGTTGTCGGCGTGATGTGAGTATGAGGACTGATCGAGCTTGGAGGAACCGGTAGCGATGATGTTAGGGGAGTAAAGTCTGCTGTACATGGTGTTCGCTTGGCAGGTGTCGATCATGAAGAGGATCTCGTGATATCTGAACCCCGTTAGTGGTTGACAGGAAAGCAATGAAGCTATTACCTACCTCTTCTTCTCCCACATCTCTTCCAAAGCGTTGGCAAGATCAAATGCGCCAATCTCCTCGGCATCCTGGAACTTGAGGAACTCGTTTCCACCATGGCCAGTCATGTAAACCAAGATATTGCTTCGATCATCGGTAAGGAGACGCTTGCTTCGCGGCATCTCCGCACCCACGCGATCCGTCAACAGGCGAATAAAGTTCTCGACAGTAACTTCGTAGCCACGGTAGTCCACCTCGATGTTGTCGCCGTAGAGATCAACAGCGCGATCAGAATTGCTGTAGACGGTTCCAGGGAACGCGTTCCGGGGATTGCAGGCCATGTCGTCGGGGAGCATGAGGATGATCTGGGAGTCAGGGATACCCAGGCGCTTGACGGTACGGTACATAGAGAGGACATTGGCGAGATGGCGGTAGTTGAACCAGAATCGTGAGGTGCAGACGAGAACGGCCCAGTTGCTGGTATGCTCGCCGAAAGCGATTGTCGCGAACATGGCCGCTGCCACGATGGCGTGAAATCGAAGTATTGAGAGGTTCATGGCGGGGGATGCGATATGATGAAGCGAACTGGTTGACAAGGGAGCGCGGTAGAGTAAGGAGCGAAGTTTAGAAGACAGATGCAACAAGTGGCATATCCGCTGGCTGAATGTCAATGAAACTGAGGTTGCTAAGAAATGTTCCCTCAGACTTACAAATCTGTACAGCGGCGATAATCATGAATTCCATCCACTGGATATCCCTTTGTGGATCAACGTCACCAAGGAGGGAACACCTAACATTAACGTTGATTGATTATTACTGTTCAGCACATAATCGGAGTCTTACCAGATCTGGACCCGGAGTTTTCGGCGTGGAGGATCCGATAAAACGGCCCCTGGCGCTTGTACTGATTCGAAGCACTAACAAATTCCCACAGCATGTCACCAATCTGAACGGGGTACTGAAGAGGCAGTGGAACTTCACCTCTCAGTTGTTACTATGTACATCTCGACAAGAAAGAAAAATCTTGGGGTGAGTTGGCAAAGATGGGGATAACCTCTCCTGTTTCTTAACCAGGATTGAGAAACAGTTGGGGTTGGATCTGTTGGCGTTGTGTTTGTTTGATGAGAGTATCTGATATGGTTCGACTCCGAGTGAGATATGCTCCGATGTTGGAAATGACTGTGTCATGGGTGTTGTTTTAGGGAATATTGAGTCTGAGAATGGGATCAGATACATGTGGCACGGCATGGTTTGAGATCAACATGGCTAGGGAGTGTACAGGAAAAGCACAACCAGGGTATTGTATCCATGAGATTTCATCGTAGATTACCTTATGCGCCAACCTCGAAATTTTAGCCTCGAGAATGATATCTGACAGGATTAACTGTCGATTTGGCTGGAGGACCGAGTTCTACGGACTACCATCTCAACCTGCGGGCTTAAGGTTCTGAGTTAGAGGATAAGAGTACTGTAGTTGAGCGAAGGCGGGTAGGGCGTATGGATTGTGTCGTTCACGATGCTGACTCTTCTGTATTGTGGAGGAGAATATACACCAAGAGCATTCTATCCAACTTAGCCAGACTAGACATACCTACATATTCAGCCTGGCCAGCACCGGTGCGAAAACTTTTTTCAAGATTCAGGCAATCTTTATCTTAGCCTGAATCAAACGCTTCAGTCTGATGCGGATATACTAGCCAGGACCCATAAACCCCTCTTCTCGTGCTTTCATGGTCATGATAGGAATCGAATTTTCAACACGATAACGAGAAAGCACAATCTGTAATTAGTAAGTCACTTACAGTAGCGTCTCATAGCTGCATGGAAGAGCAAACAGAAAAAATGGAGGACCCTGCAGAGACTCCACCATGACGATGTGATAGACCATGGATGGAACTGAGACTGGGGTCGTAGCGACTAGGACATTCAAGTTGTTCGCTGGACAAGCTGCGACCAGAGAAGCAGTAAAGGTCACCTTGGCAAAGATGCCGAACAAAGCCGTTGGCGCATACCGAGAAAGGTGAACGACCTTGCGCATAACGACTCCATAAAATTAAGCCATGTATCTATCGTCAGGTGGGCTGAAAAGAAAATACAGAAGGCTTCTAGTGAGCCGCAAGTGACGAATGAGGGCCGGCACCGGAGTTGGAAAGGTACGATCACATGAATATTTCAGGCGCGAAATCCTCCAAATCGTCGAGTCGTGTTTTGAATGGCGTAGGTGATCCACTAACTTGGCATATGCCTTCTTTTATAGCCGCTATGTATGTACATTAGACCAGGCTATGCCATGCATGGACAGGGCATGGATCTTGAGCTGTACTGTATGGATGGTACTGTACTTCCAGTGCAGGCAGACCAAGGTTGGACCGGCTCAATTAAGGTAAACTCGGTGGTTGTGAGTCTTGGCCGAGGTTGAGCAATAATATCGTGCAGAGAGCCACGGGGTCAGTTCAGAAGCTCTGAGGTCAAGAACCAAGGACATCCAATGACGAGAGGTTCCGTGACTACATGCCGGAAACATCAGCTTGAAATGATGGAGCGTGTGGTAAAAAGCCTCAAACATCACCTGTTTACCGAGAGAAGCTGGGGGGAGGAAACCTGGGGTTGAGGAGAATCACGATAGAATGATGTATCGTGACCATGACAGTCCAAAAAGAACAGTCTAACCCCCAACATCTCCTCAGGAGGACCCCCAAACTTGGGTATGTACGGCAATGAGCATCGTTTTCAATATTCATTATGACAATGCCGATCAATGCCAATTATCGTTTGGTTTCAGTTCTCTTTGACAGAACTCTCCGATCATGACTGGGCACTTGGCACTTGACGAGACCTGTTTAATTCCTGATTGTAAGGCTGGCTGATAGTGAAACTCCAAAGCTTCCATGGTTTTTATACACAACTAACAACCTAGTAGCAAGCATCTGACATTGCTCCGCAATCCTTGTCGTAACACAACACGAAGACCAAATGCAATGCATTGGATGCACACTTCCTTTGGGTCTGGGTCTCTAGCTGGGTAGGTTGACAAGGTGAGGAGTAAGATCAAGGTGCAAGGTGTGTGTGTGCGTGTGTGTCGTGTTTCGATTTTGGAGTGTTGGAAGTCTCAAACTTGTTGCTAAAAGTAGTACTCATTATTACCTGGCTTTATGTTCTTCTACTCCTCTTCTTACTCCTCCTATCACTTTCCCTTCTTTCAAAGGCTATCTTCATTTCCGAAGTCTAACAAAATCGAAACACCACATACGGATACTCCTTTTCTCTTCCGCCTCATCTTATCTCCTACGGAGTACTATCCGGAGTGACACGGTGTATGCTACGCCCGGCTCAAGGACCCTGCCTTTTGTCTCTTCCTTCACCTCAGGTCAACCTCTGCCGTGCGACGGTGACTCGCTGAGGTGAGCCCAGGTACCTCAAGACCGGCTCCAAGGGACCAACCACCCCTGGTCACCTGCTAAACAGCCACACAAGAATCGATCCTAGTTGAGCTCCCTGCTTCTGCGTTGTGTACCGGTAGACCTTCTGGACCGTGGCGTGCATATGAGTCTTTGGCTGAGTTATCCTCTTCCGTCTCATCTGATTTGAGTAATTCGACCCCCAGAGGCAAAACGCCAAAAACGCCGGGGAGCCTAAATCGGCCACTTTTGTAGTGGAGGCAGGCTTCTTTGAAGGTGCGTGCCTGGGTCTGGGTACAGTACTTACACTGCCCTGCCTAGTGCTGTCGGTTTTATAGTGGGCGCCTGCACAAGCTCCATCTAAAATAACCAAACTAACTGTGCGACCTGCGCCAGGGTATTTGACTACCCCCTTGGCCTCCATCTCTTATTCGGTTCAATCCAACCTTACTCTTCTTTCCACTGAAACAACTGACAAATCTTTCTCTTCATCTTGTCGAGGTCTTTGCTGTCTCAGCACTGCTACGGCTTGTCTCCATTTCGCCTCTGTTGAAGACTTGACCATGGGCCGTACGCCGGCCTACATCTTTGTCGTCAGGTACGTTTTCAGCTGCCTTTCCAGACCCCTGTCATCATGATGCATCGTCGCAATCAGATCGCGTAGCCCTAGCGCTGTGTGTGCGTATGCGTACAGCAGCATGACAGTATAGGCATGATGTTGATTACAGAGCTCAACTGACCTCTATTCTAGGCACGGAAACCGCCTTGACGCTGCTGACAAGAGATGGCATCTTTCGTCCCCTACACCATATGATCCTCCTCTGACGTACGGCGGCTGGCTTCAAGCCAGAGCTGTCGGCAACCAAATCTCCAGTATTCTCGAACAAGCGAAAGACGAGTACGAGACGACTTCGAAAGGCACAAAAAAGCGACGTAGATTCAAGGTAGTCATTCATAGCTCGCCATTCTTACGATGCGCTCAAACATCGATCGGCATCAGCTCTGGTCTTGCACAGACTCCCCATGAGTCGCCTCACCGTCCGAACGACATATTCGTTTCAGCAACGGGACCACCAAAACACTTTCGATCTACAATATTACGTCTGGATTCCTTTCTTGGAGAATGGCTGTCTCCCGAGTACTTCGAACAGATTACCCCACCACCTGGTGCCGCCCTCATGCTTGGAAGTGCAAAGGCCGAGCTCCTGCGACGCGAAGACTACAGTGCACTGACATCTGCGCCCGCTCCCACTCCGATGCCTCATAGAGGCTCTAATGCTTCTCTCTGGAACGGATCTCCTGCCGCCAGTCCCTCTCTTGGTCCCTTGAGATCAGGGTCTGCAGTGGAAGGTTCAACAGGGTCCGCTATGGCTGCGGCTCTAACTGGACAGCTGGCAACTCAGATGGAAAAGAAAGGCTACACAGTCCCAAAGCCGAACTATGCTATCTCGAGTTCCGGAAAGATCCCCGACGGATTCGTGGCCCACGCGCGTGACGAGTGCGTTGTGGTAGATTACCAATGGGATTCCATGAGAGCTCCACTGGATTTTGGGGATGGCGGCCAGCTTGGAGAAGAGTGGACAGACATGCACAAGAGATTTCGACGGGGTCTAAAGAAGATGGTGGACTGGTACGCTACGACTGATGCGCCTGATGAGATGGTAACGCAGGCTGCCGGAACTTCACAGAATGACACACATGACCCCTCGATTTCTGAAGACGAGGATGTAGAGACTGTTGTTATTCTTGTATCTCACGGAGCTGGATGCAATGCTCTCATCGGTGCTATTACTCATCAGCCCGTTCTTATGGATGTTGGAATTGCATCCATCACGATGGCAGTTCGAAAACAAGATGCCGACTACGACACTCTCCTGGCTGCATCAGCGAATGAAGCGCCAAACTCTGAACCCCATGTCTCTCCCCATCAGATGTACGATATTCGCATGTCTGCAAGCACAGAACATTTGCGCTCAACAACCTCGACTCCAGTCTCCTCCCGATCAACTTCAGCTGACGGTTTCCCTGCTGCTATCCGCGGCCGCAATCCCAGCATCAGCAGTACTGACGGGCCCGGCCCACTCATTGGTTCTTTCGTCTATTCCGACCCTATTATTCCCATGGGCAGCCGTAGTGCTTCGGCCAGTGCAACTGTGGGA